GCAGCGCTGTTGAAAATCAGGAGGAGGTCTATTGAACTTGCCGATAGTTTGAGAGTCCAACGTTTGAACCTACTACTTGAAGAAATTGCTCCTAGACCTACGGCGCCTTGGGTTTTCTGGAGAAGCATAGGAAACATGATTAAGAGTTCAAGTGACGAGCGACTCGTCCGAAATCGAGTTGTGTCAAGTCTACAAGACAATGAAGGGATGACTAGTCGACTTCGACGAGATTTACTCTGTCAGTCGTTATTAGCGTTTGTCGCGGCCCCGAATAATCTGCTTTTCTTATCGGGTGTGCACGAAATGATCCAGTGATTAACTACAGGCAGGAAGGCCAGAGAATAGATATATGATGCTGAGATTAGGTGTTTGAGTTGTCATTGTTGCTAATTAAATTGATACTATGAGCATGTGAGATAACCCCGTAGCCGTTTGGCTCAAGTCTGTATTCTTACTCTCCATTTTCACGTTGAGGAACCGTCGAAACCAACCGAGTCGGCCGACCGTAAAAATTGCTACGCTTTTTTCTTTTTAATTTTTTTAACCCACCCACTGCCGCACGTAGGCAGGTATCATCAAACTGCTCGGTTATATCTTTCATCTTTCCACATCTCTTTAGTTGCTATTCTTGAGATCTGTAGGTTACACATCGCAGCTCAATGATTCGGTTTTGCAGCCAAGGGCGGGAAAGTCTAAGTGGTGGATCGGAGAGTCGCAACTAACTTGAATGAACTCGCAGTATCTACTCACGTTATGTGGCGACTGATCGGGATTATTCGAGGCGTTACTTGAGTTTTTTCCATGTTACAGGCGCGCGCCATGCGGACAGCATTTCCCTCTTGGCGGTGTGCGCGTTCCGCGTGACGTGGATCGCGTCACGCACGACTCTCCGTCGCCAGCGCCCGCCTGGTGCGTTCCAGATTGTTTCTCACGTGTAGCACGGTCGATCAGTAAAGCTTTAGTTAATGTCTGTAAAAGCCAAGGTATCGAATTCTCAACTTTTTCGTGCCACCCCTCCCCGACTGAGGGTGGACTTCGCCATCGCTATGATGTGTATTTTTACTGATTTCCTCGGCGACAATCTCTTGGCCCCGGGCTATGAACTCTTCATTAGAGAGAATGGTGTACCAGGTGAGGTCTATGATGACGGACTCGGTGACTGTCGATCCGTCACCTCCTTTCAGGCATGGGCTTTGGCCTTGCTGTGTCGATCATCACCATGTCGTACATAGTGGGAAGATGCTTCGCTTCCACTCTGATGGGGCCCATTTCTGATCACACTGGTCGTTGGAATACCTTAATGATATGCACGCTGCTCCAGGCGGTTGGATTCCTCTTGCAGGTGAGCCTCCCACGCCTTGGAATATATAGTGTGCCCTCATTTTCGCTTTGTACAGCTGAGCTCGGGAGTTTCCTCGCTGATTATAAAAGTTCACACATGAATTGAGGTGGAAGTTCGCAGAAACTCTCCCGAAATTTCCTCAAAATTTTCATTTTGTCACCAACATGTGTCGTTCGCAAATGATGCTCACTTGTGTCAGGCGCTGTCTTGGAGTTTCTGGTCCCTCGTAGGCTTTCGCTTTTTTACCGGCTTCGTCGGTGGGACCAGGGTCATCATTATTGTGTAAGAGCTCGTGTTCGTGTAGTCGCCCTCAAAGAATACACCGGAGTTTCACTTTTTCTTCATTTGAAGTGGCGTAAAGCTCGGTGAAAAACGCGATATTCGCGCCTTGCAGTAGTCGTAAAATGTATTTTCCACTAGTGTTTTCGTATCACTAGGGCGAAACTCCACTGTTCTTGGAATTGATCTCACACTGTATCACAGTTTGTTTGCCTTCCTCAGCTGAGCTCGTAAGTCTGTTTACTACATTATGGAAAGGGTAGTAGTATTATACTACTACCTTTTCCATAATGTACTACTAGTACATAATACTACTAGTATGCAAAAGCCAGGGAAAATTTCCCAAAATTTTGTCACCAGAACGCCATGTGGTCAAGGAGTTTCCTCGTTAGTAGTATCTTGGTTGTAGAGGCTACTCAACGCTCCACTCAAGGGAACCGTTGATACTACCAAAAAGATCGGTATTGTTATTCTCATGTCGGTCGGCTCTTGGTTGAACATGTGCATATATTCCCACACTTTGAGGAAATATATAATTGTGAATTCCAATAGAGATCTGCTGACTCGGTGTACCGTCAGGTACATAACCGATTGGATGTCTGATCGTCATATGCTCACCTTCTGGATGTCCTTCGTCCCGATCGTGTCGAGCGTCTCGTCATTTGTTGGCCCCTTTCTCGGAGGAATAATCGCTCAGGTGAGTGCGGTATTGCAATATATGTTTGCTTTCCTCAGCTGAGCTCAAGGATTTCCCGAAATTTCCTCGAAATTTCCGTATTGTCACTAACATATGTGG